CCTTAATAGTCGCGGAACTACAGAACTGACCAATACACATGACGGAAGATCCGACGTGTACTTATGCCGAACTTTCGTGTGACACTTTGATCTGCTGTCACATAAGCACAAAACTGTATGATTAAAATTGAAATATCTCTATTATTATGCTACTGATGTTTGATATTTTATACCGACAAAGGGTCATTTTGATCGTCATACTGTATAATATGACAAAGTCAGTACTCTGTAAAAAAGGTACATGGTAGTACAATTTTGTCGATAACTTTTATTGTAAAAAAAAAATAACAAATCCCATGGTTTAATGTCAAGTAAATATTACGGTTATATTTACAAAAAATCGCTTATTTGTACGCCAATGATTTGTCAAACTGATTATGATAAATAAATATATTTTCATTTAATCGATACCAAACGTTTTCAATCGAGTCAATTCCGTCGATAACTTTTATTATAAACAAAATAACAAATCCCATGGTTTAATATTTAGTAATTTAAAAAAAAACAAATCGCTTATTTGTGCGTCAATTATGATAAATAAATATATTTTCATTTAATCGATGCCAAATGTTTTTCGTTTCATGATGACAGTACACAATAAATTGACACTCAACGCATAACTTGTTTTGACGTCTGATCTTGAGGTTATATATAATGCATAATGTATTAACATACAACCTGTACCATACAAGTTAATGTGCGACTTAATTTATATGCAATCACATTAAATATGCACATTATCTTCTTTTCATACAAATAATAGTTACTTATTTAAACTAATTGCTGCTATTTTGATATAAGTGGGCAAAATGAGGTCATATGTGTATAAGACCTGTTTAATGTTTTCATAAACAGTGTTAAGTCAATGTCAAACAAAATAAATTTATTAAAAACTAGCTTTCCACCAGCGGCTTCGCCCGCGTGGTCTTGTATTATACATAAAAACCTTCCTTTTAAATCACCCTATCTATGAAAAAAAAACCGCCTCAAAATCCGTTGCGTAGTTTTAAAGATTTAAGGATATAGGGACAGAGAAAGCGACTTTGTTTTATACTATGTAAAGCACATAGATTCTTTGATTACGCACAAGAATAGGTACGATACATTAATAAAAAATTTAGATGTTAATGTACTATTTGCTTCTAGTTTGAATGTTCATCCTACTTTGTGGTAAATTCATTTCTTCGCCAGGTCAAAGGGACTACGCCTACATTTATTTATTGTTTTATGTGATGTCTGGGAATGTAACTAAATTAACAGGAGAAACCATCAACTGCATTATCTTAGTTTACATTTCACGGTGTGAAGTCAACGGTTTTAGTTTCGTATATTTAATTTCTAACATCACTAGTATATGCGCCTATTAGTAGTCTATAGACAAACAGGACACCCTAAAAGGATTACGAAGTATAAAATTCATGAACGCCATATTTGTGAGGGAATGTCTAGCACGTGCTACCACTACCATCTATTTTTAAGGCATATCAGCGCTAACAGCACTTGAAAGAAAGCGCTAGATTCGGAGCAACAAATATTTTTCAAAAATAAACCACCTTGGTTTGAGCCGAACATAAAAACATTGTCTTTTAAAGAAACGATATATTGATTTATTTATTCTTATGCAAAAAGTACATAGGCGGACTTAATGCGGCATTTTCTGCCAGGCAATCTTAGAAATGTGGAGAAGAATACGAGGTCAGGTGCACAATTAAAAGCAAAATAACCAAAAGAGTAGACTTTTTTTATATATATATACTTTTTAGGTTAACGCTTGACTACGATCCCACCTGATGGTAAGTGGTGATGAAGCCTTGGGTGGTATAGCGCATTAACCTAGTAACAGCCTATTAACTCTTGATTTGAAGACATTCACATTATAATCGGACGGAAATAAAGACGCTGGCAATTTATTCCAGTCCTTGGCGGTACGTATTATGAAATACACATACTATAATTAGTGGTAATATCCGAACGATTTTCAGTATTAATATTTTGTTTTTATGTGACTCTCTATCATCAACATTTAAATCAAAAAATTTTTATTGCTTTTTTATATCGCTAAAAAGGGCTAGATTAAGCGTCGATAGCGTTGAATTGGTAGGACAAGTACGTGCCATTGGGCAAGGTTCATGTCATACTTGAGCGTTTACAATCACAGGTCGAACCTTCTTTTTACTTTGAACATACACCATTACGCAAATTTCACACTAGCTATGGCTTGTAAACATTGTACCATTGTAGGAATGTGGAATCTTACATTTCTACTAGAATTCAAAAAGTAGTAATTAATGAAGCGAAATCTGCAGGGGCACCCTTTAATATGGGCGTACCTCAGGGATCGGTATTAGGACCATTGCCTCACTTTACGAAGAATTTGTGCGAGACAGTATTATTTGTAGGTGAAACCTCTTTAGTTTTTAAAGCTAAGAGGGGTAATGATTGTTTTGACGATTCAAATGATGCTCTCGATAATGTTCTACAGTGGTTTGATAATAATAATTTGAAGCTTAATTCAAATAAAACAAAATGCATAAAGTTTGCATTACCTAATGTGAGGCATGTTAGTACATTTATAAATTTAAATAGTGAAAAAGTTGAGTTGGTACAATCGACAAAGTTTCTAGGTATTACACTAGGTTCCCGACTGCAATAGGATCCTCATATTGATAACTTGTCAAGTAGACTGAGTTCTGCACCTTTTGTTATTAAGAAAATTAGACTCTTGACAAATGTTGAAACGGCCAGATTGGTATATTTTTGTTATTTTCATAGTGTAATGACGTATGGATGGCCTATTGTTGTGGAGTTCTGCGGCTAGCATTTAAGATATTATTATTCTACAAGAGAGCTGTCCGCGCTATATATAATTTATGGTCGAGGGAATCTCTCAAAGAAATATTTAAAGAAATAAATATTTTGACTGTTGCCTTTCAGTAAATCTTTGAAAATATTATGTACGCAAGAAAACATAACGATCACAAAAAAGTAGTGTATGAACACTACTTTTTTATCTTAACACAAGAAATAAAAATAAACTTACCAAAAAACCAGAGGATCATTTCTGGGTAAATGCATTGCTATATTCAATAAAGTTCCACAAAATGTAATTGACCTACCCGTAAATAAATTTAAAATTAATTTTAAGAACATACTTATGGGTCCTACAGACTTTGAAAATTGTATTTATTATTGTTATAATGCGTACTATTTTGGTAATGTCATGATTTATGTAAATGTGATTACCTATGATAAAGAGCTGGTTAGTTTCTTTCGCTTGTACTTCTTATCAGCTAAATGACGTCCTGAACAAATGGTAGAGGAAAAAAAATTTTGGCCGATTCAACAAGCTTACTTGCTTAATAAAGACATTTTCATTTCATTTCAATGAATTTAAGGGTCATGTGTAAATTCTTGCAGTAATATAGGATTTATATAACCTATATATTAAGTACGGTCCTGAGTCAGCTTGTTCACAAATTAATTTTGTGTCTGGGCGCAAAGTGCCTTCATATTACATACTATTCAAATGTGACGTTACGAAACCATCATGATTGGGGCATATCTATTTTTTACGGTCAAATGTATTACTGTAGCCTCCTACTAACCAACGCAGGTCAACGAGGTATTTGTGGCTCTCCACTGAACAACTCGAAGGAGCTTAACAAAGGGTAAAAACATATCCAATGAACTAATCGATGACCTGGCCCATAGTAGGCGATGCGTGGAAACAGATCTGAGGATCTCTTCCCGTACAGAGAATAGGGTATATGAAATAGTGCGCAAAACGATAGATCAATTAAACTTGCAGTCGAAAGTTTAGATTTATTTAAATTAAATTTTCACCGATTCGATTACAAAACCCACGCTTATTTAATTCAACACGTTTGATCAATAATTTAACTAAGAGAAAGGTGTGTTTTTAAAGCATTTGAATTCTAGACAGTTCAGACACACGTTTTGAATATAGCATCAAATCTTTAATGCAATATATGAAGTCCTATTGAATATATTTAACGTACACGTTTTAGGTACACCTACGGGTAGCTACAAAAATTTAAACATACAGACAATCAAATCTTCCCTCTTTATAATGTTAGTATATATAAATAAATACTAATGAGTCAAAAACTACGCCACACCGTCTTGGTTGCAAAAAGTTTTATATCGAGATAGTAAATAAGAAACTCGCTATCTCTCTATGTTTGATTCAGACGAAATTTCTTTTTCTCAGTCGTAACTCTCTTGCCTCTCTTGTAGTTACTCTTTTGTAGTCGCAATCAGCACGTAGTATCTGCTGGAGTGTATGTAACTTGCCTCACGACGTCTCGTCATGTCTCGATTGACAATCGACATTTTTGAGTAATCGAATAGAGACTCCTATTTGGTGGGTCCATCGCATCGGTGATAGCCCGCGCGGTCTGGTCCCTTCTACCCTACCTTGGACGACGAGACTTTCTATGGAATTATTGTTATGCCTTAAGAGACAAGTTTTAATAAGATTAGATAGGCGCTGCTTGACTCTAAGTTCTTGCACTATGGAGACAACAGCTAGTAGATTATAATTAGTTTTTATGATAATCGTTCGTCCTTGCATCTGTGTGGCACAATTAAATAGGGTCTAGATAAAATTCAGCGTCGGTCTCTTTTTCTTTTTGAGAAGAGAAGAAGACCGATATAAGCTGAGCTAAATACTTATATATACTTTTGGTACAGTTGTGAGACATGCAAATATCAATGGACAATTAGATATATAAAAGTCAGTCAGTGGTAATTAAGCTTTATATATTATAGATATTTAAACTTTCTGTATATAAGTAGTCTTTGTATATTTCTGTAATAGTTTACCATTTATAAATGTCCTATGTATATGTGCCATATAAATGATTTGATGCAGTGACACAATATGGATTCCTTGATGACTGATGGCCTATAAAAAGCTCATGAAGACGCGCCATTACATCTCCGAAGCCGCGCCGTAAGATATTGATTGAGTTACCAACCTTGTGATAGGTGTCTTTCTGCCAGTTCTTGATCTGAGCGATGACGTCATTAACTAGCCGGTCTCGCACGCCAAGGTGCAAGTCCGAGAGTCGCTCTGCCTCGACCATGCCGCCCTTCCACGCCGCCTCCATGGTACCATATTCAGGACCTGGTGCAAACAGAATTATGTGAAAGCTACAACAACATATATGGGGAGGTAGAAAGTGCAGTTCATATTTATTGGACAACAACTTTGCTGTGTAAGCCACTTTAAAAATGATTGCAGTAATATAAAACGTAGCTAGCCTTGATTCTTTGAGAATTGGTTATGTAGCATTTACTTATAGAAAGCAGCGCAGGTTACAATTTATGAGTGAATGATAAATTCATTTACTGGCGATCAAACTGAAAATGTTTTATTCGATTGAGACACAAACAACGCAAACAAACGTAACAGAATAAATGCTATACGGTATGGCGGGACATTTTTTGTTTGCATTTAGTAGGTTTCGAAACTGTAAGACCAATTTTAATAATTCTTTTATCTATGTGATGCTACGACCTATGCGGGTGACATCTCCTAGCAGCATTTAATTTCCCAATTCAAATCAAAATCTTGGCCAAACATGGCTCAGATGTGTCAAAGTCACATGCTAATCCGTTAATGAAAAAGTGTAACCGTGAACGTCGGATATACGATTGACGAATCCGTAAACTTGTTCTGTGGCAGGTGAATATGTATAGTGATTACAACAAGTCCACAACGAACGTGGAACAAATCTCCGGCGTTCGGTGCACGCGACCCAGCCTCCAATCAACCAGCAGCGGGCCGATTAACACTCGATTACAGCAATTTATATCATTCACTGTCCCACTTTCTCGGTTTAGAAAAAGCGCACGTATGTACTGGAGAAAAGGATTAAATTGCATCAACAGTCACTTGTTGGTGTTGATAATTGCGGGAGGGTGAGCCCGGCGTGTGCCCTGGCGTAAGATTTGCACTAATTGTGTGTAAACATGTCTTTATTATCAACAAACTGAATAACGTTATCTTGCAACGAGCTTAACATATATAATCATAAACAAATTCAATAAATTCTTAATGAAAAATGTTTAAATATGCCACTTTGTTCCTCGCACTCTGAAATTAGACTCGAATCCATCGATTCCCATCTCAAAGTGCCAAATCGATGAAATATAATAATTTGAATAAATTTCATCTTGATCGAAAGTATAAATATTTGTACAAAAAAAATTCTTCGACTGTTCGGGTGGATTGCCTGAACATTAATGAAAATACGCTCTGTAGTAGTGAAAAATTAACAAGTTCTTGAAAAATTCGTCAGTATAGCATTGTGATTGCAAAATTGATTAATAATAAAAAAAAACAATATAATTTATTAAGTGTACACTATTACTTGTGAATATCGAAGAATATGCTAACGGTTCGCAAAGCTACGGCGGGAGGCGGGAGCTAAATTAATTATTTTAAAGCATGAAATCACATTTTTTTTTATATATTTCCATATAACAAATAACTTAGCAGGTGCTTACCCCTTTTTGATATGCGTTTATGTATTTTATTGTACTTTAATTGTAGAAATCTATCTGATTTAAAATATTATTGTTTTACGTCTTGGTTTGCGACTGATATATTATTATTTGATATTAATTTAAAATGACATAGGTGTTTTTCAAAGTATCCTAGCATATCCGTTGTAGGATGAAGCTAGAATGTTATTCAACATGGTATACAAAGTTATGATTCCATAGATATAGATCTTATATTTGTTGTTGTTATTTGATCAAGATCGGGCTGACATGAGTAGCTCGGTGGCGTAGTGGATAAGCGCCGCGGTCCGCGATCGTAGTCGTTAAGCAACTTTCGCAAGGGTCGGTCACGGGATGGGTGACCAAAAAAAAAATTATCTCGAGCTACTCTGTGGTTCGGAAGGCACGGTAAGCCGTTGGTCCTGGCTGCATTTGCAGTCTTTAATACACTCCAATCCGCATTGGGCCAGCGAGGAGGGTCATGGCCCATCTCCTTAACCATCCATAAGGAAGGCCTGAGCCCCTGCAGTGGGGACGTAAAAGGGCTGGTGATGATGGGCTGACATGAACACTAAGTTCAAAAGCCCATAAAAATAAGAATAAAAGTATATATATTTTTTTGTTTATGCCTTTTGTTTTTTTCCAATAAAATATATAAATATACCTCTTTCATTACCTAACCCTACGCTGTATGTAATAATGTGTAATTAAAAGATATCTTTTTTTTTATTATAATAACATTATTTCTAAATATTGTATAGTTTAGGTATAACTTCAGATATCTCATTTTGTACAATCAAATTTAAAAGAAAATGCGCATAAAAGTCGCATTATGATAATATGCTGCAAACTAGATTGCAATCGAACGTTTAATTATTTGCCACTGTGAAACATATAACTTTATCTATAGATAACATTAATCAGGTATTATCACAATAATTGTACTAGATATACGATCAGTTGCGCAAACGTCCATTAAAGATTTAATAACGCCTTTAAGCTCTTATAGATATCAAATTTGCATGGGTAATGTGTTTTTAAACTAATGAAATTTTAATGGATGTTTGTGCAACTGGCTGATAATAGGCCAAATTATTTTTGATAACAAATTGGGCAGTTCTTCGATTTGATGTCAGGGACACACAATAAATGTTTGTCGTGAATATCAGACAATGAATCGTAAAATTCAAATTGAATGCTAAATATTTGATATTCTTCGTGTTTCGGCTGTTATAGGATTTGAGTGTACAAACAGTTGATTGATATATTAAAATGCACTCGTGTTGATCAAACAGTACAGTAATTTCTTCGATTACTCTTTTACACTCAACATACAGAAAAGTATTAGTAATCTTTCAATTGTTTTTTTTCGCAGTTTTCGGCAGTTTCTATCCGGCCGTTAAAATTAAAATTGAACGTGTTTGTTATAATTTTAACCGCCTTTTTTGTTTCGGTCAACACCTAAATCAAAAAGGCGGGTAACAATAAGAAAATATGCATAAATCATTTTTAAGTTTACAAAATAAGCTCACGATTCTTATAGACTGTGCTGCTTTGTGAATATTTAGTGCTTTTAGTGATATTTAGTGCAGTCTATACCCCAGCCATGCTTCCATTTGACAAGAAAGATTCATCAAAACAAATGAAAAAGATATCGCGGATCTTTCATACACGAAAAAACCACTAATATTTGTTCGCTTATTTTATGGATAAACCTATTACTATAGATATAATTTCAATGCTAGATTTTCCGTTTCGCTTTTCTGGATCTCCACAACAAGGTAATATAAATTTATTATACATTGCAAATTACTTTCCAATAGATAGAAAGAGGCGATATTCTCAATGTAGTAAACAGAGTCTGCAAAAAGTTCACAGCGACATTTTATTGGAAACGAGTGAAATAAGACGTGAATATTTTCAATTTTGCATTACATAAATAGTGAGCTCTACCTGTAATCACATTTCACAGATTTGGTAGAATGACAATAGAAGAGCTGAATATTTCACTATATAGTATAAAACAAAGTCGCTTTCTCTGTCCGTACATCCATATGTATGCTTAAATCTTTAAAACTACGCAACGGATTTCGATGGGGTTGTTTTCATAGATAAAAAGGAAGGTTTTTATGTACAATACAAGACCATGCGGGCGAAGCCACTGACGGAAAGCTAGTTGATAATAAAATATATAAATATTAAATACATGCTCTAATCATATTGTATATCTTTTCTGTCTGTCTACCCTTAGGGAAAATATGTGAAGGTATTTTGAAATAAATATATATGGATTGGAATTGCTACAAGCGCAGAAATCAAGCGAGTAAAGCGTACGTCTCAAACATTTATGTTAAGTTCTCATTGTAAGAAGATACAATCCATCAGCGTTAGTAAAACTAAACTAAGTGATCGACCGTATGAATGTTATGTAATGATAATATTTTTTCTTCGACATTTTACAAACACTCCCTATATAAACGGATAATGCCATAAAATACGATTAAAGACGACATGATAAGGTCGTATGCTTGCTACACATAGAAAAGAGACTTCTTTCGATTTCTCATACTTCAGTTGACATAATTATTATTCATCGAAAGCAAATAAGTAAATAGGTGAGGTTAGTTTAGTTTTACCGTATTTCTCATATACCTTATGAAAATTGCACAAATATATATTTTTATTTTAATATGCAAATTCTTCAGTCGTATTCATAATAGGGGTAAAGGCGTCATTCAGTTTCATAAACATGCTACGCACCCAGTGTGATTGACGTCTGATCCCCTGTATTGTATTTGAAAGCTGACTCTTCACAAATATAAACCATCATATCTAAAATTTTGGCACGGTATAAATATATTCAAAGTATATTGTTTTCTTAAAAAATGTATTATTTCGACTCCATGCTTCGGAAGGCCAGTGTAACCAACTCTTTAAAATATTTATCCCTAAATCTAAGTCAAAACCCCCTAAAATTGCCTCAATTATCTGAAAATTCCCCTAAAATATATTTTATAAAAATACTATATAAAATAAAAGCAATATGTAGTAATATACACACGAACAATAACATAACAGCTCACTATTTGAACATGACCTTGAAATTTCTAGTCACCTGTCACAGACTAGGAAGGAAGCACAGACTGAACAGAAAGTTAGGAAGCGATACAAGTAATTAGAGAGTAGTTAAATATAATTACACTAGATGTCATTCAGTCCAAAGTCATTCGATGAGTAAAAAAATATTTTAATGACTATTATTGGATTGAATAGTTCTATTATATTCAGAATTACAGAATATTATGTATTCAGAAAACCCCTAAAAATACCCCTAAACATAAAAAACCCCCAAAAAATCCCATCCCACTCAATAACCCCCTAAAATTGGGGGGGAAAAACCCTAAGTTGGGAACCGTGCGGAAGGCACGTCAAGCCGTTAGCCCACGCGGTGGGTAGAGATTTCCCTATGCGATTCAATTCAATTCCATCTATTGAGAAGGACTAAGCCCTAGCAATAGGCTAATGATACTCTTTTGACAACTTTAATATGCTATCACCTCTATCTCCACATTTTTCACCGCTGATTAACTTATTAAAATGTAGCGCTACCCCCCGTAC